ACTGAAAAAATGAACAAAGTATCTGTTGGCCGTGGGACCACTTAGTGGCATAGGGTATGTGTAATTGGAGCCTTTTCTATCCTTTCTATTAACCACTGTTTCCAAACTCTTTTTTTCTACTGTGTTGATTTTAACCATTAAAACAACAAAAAAATCTCATTCCTCAAACTTCCACCTGCAAAACCACTACCAAAACCACTCTTAAATAGCTCTGCAATAACTGAACACAGTGGAGACTTCATACAACTCCATCATTCTGTGAAATCCAATGGCTCTCCAACCTCTAGGCAACAAATGACACTGTTTGCTAACTAATGCCTGAACCCTGATCCTTGTTTACCACCCTCATTCTTTGAAGTTGATAAGTTTCTTGCCTTCCCCAAAACTTTGTTGTCACTCATCTGATTCCTTCTCTCCTCTACCCCTGAATTTTGGGTATCCCTACGCCTTTGTCATAAAGTCACGAAATTTCAGGGTGGGGCAGAGAGATCTTAGGCACTATCTAGTCTGGCCCATTCATTGTTGAACACTTGATTTATTCTTACAATATTTTTATCATATAGTTGTCTATCTTTTGTGTAAACACCATGTGATGGGTACTCTATTCCACCATTAGTAGCTCTAATCTTTAGAACCTTCTTTCTCATATTAAGCTGAAACAGGTCTCTTTATAACCTCTGCCAAAGGATCTGATCCCAGGCTCTTATCTTCTCTTCATTTCTGCTCTTGTCTAGACCCATTAACACCTCAGGCATGGAATACTTCAATAACTTGACGGTCTCCATTGTAATTCTTTCAGTTCACTCAGTGCATAACAATTCCCACCTGACTAATCTTTGAAACAGTTTTGATCCTGTTATGTCTCTCTCCTAGTTAAGAACTTATAAGGACTCCCTTCAATTGTTTTCCTATCAAAACATGTATTTTTTCAACATGCTCTGTTTTGAATGCCGTTCATGCACAGATACAGAATCCAAAAGTATACCAACAGGTATAGCCTCTACCCTTCCACTTTCCCTACAGAGGCAATCACTGTTGAATGTTTGGGGGAGTCGGGTTTTTTTTTTCCTCTGATATCTTTCCAGATATGTTCTGGACATTTTGTCAAATGTGTATCTTTTTGCCTTACTCTGATGATACCTTTTACCAATTACCTTCACCCTTGAACCACGCAAGCGTGCAATTTAGCAATACCTGTCTAACATATCTGTTCTTTACCTACCTTTTTTCACTTAACATTTTGGAAATCATTCTACCTCAGTTTACGTAAAGCCTCTCTGTTTTTTTCAATGTTTGCACAGTGGAGGGGATGTTATCATGATTTTTAAATAAATCTCCAGTGGGTATTTAGGTTGTTTCTAGTTTCCTGCTATTACAAACAATGCTGCTATGAAGAACTTCATACATGTGTGAAATACATGTGTAGAATAAATTGCCAGAAGTGGTACTGCTTGCTCAAAATGTATGTACGGGGGCTCCTGGGTGGCTCAGTCGGTTAGGCATCTACCTTCGGTTAAGGTCATGATCCTGGGGTCCTGGGATTGAGCCTCATGTCAGGCTCCCTGCTCAATAGGGAGCCTACTTCTCCCTTTCCCTCTGCTCTCCCCTGCATGTGCTTGCATGCTCTCTCTCTCTGTCAAATAAATAAAGTCTTTTAAAAAATGTATGTGCATTTAAAAAGTTGATAGATATTACCCTCTGAGTGGTTACCTTCAAGGGTGAAGGTGATTAGCAAAAGATACCATCAGATGTAGCAGAGGAAACAAGTTCCTTATGCCTAGGCAAAAGATATAAGAGATTCCCACCTTTCTATCATACTTGAGAACACCCCCCAGCAATTCTCTCTGCTGCAACATCAATTTTTATTTTTCCATTGAATCCTTGTTATTTCTATCTTCTTTAAAACCTTCTTTAAGCTTTAAGAAGACCACAGGGAGCTGGAGATTCAGCAGCCATCTCTACCAGAAGGATAAATTGCCCTGGACACTGTTGCTGGGGTGTTCTATTGGGTCTTTGAAAATTTTCCTTTGCTGCACTCACAGGGGGGTTCGTGCCTCCCAGTTGCATGCCCAGCCAGTGAAGAAAACGGTTCATAATCCCAGCTCATTCCTGAACAATCACTGCAAAGCTGAGTGCAAGGTCAGTTTCACATGGAGATTTCCCAGATGGAACAATCCCGTTAGAAGGCCCCCGCCTTAGGCTTTGTGATGATACACCTCCCATATAGAACTCCCATATTTACACTCTCATCAACAACACACAATTGCCTATTCCCCCCGCCCCCCACACACACATTTTCCAACACAGCCAAGTGTCACAGTTTTTTGCCTTGGTCCATAGTGATAGGTAAAAACTGAAGTATGTGGTTTCAATTTTACATTTCTCTCATGTGTGTGGTTGCACATCTTTTCATAGAATAATAAAGAAAAACATGTCTCTATGCTTAGCCAGGCAACTCTACTGGGGTGCTTGATCCCCCACCCTTCTTCATACTTGAAAAAAATCTCCCAAGGATCTCTCTGCTGCAACTCCTATCTTTTTTTTTTTTATTTTAAGATTTTAAAAATTTATTTGACAGAGAGAGAGAGTGAGCATAAGCAGGGGAAGTAGGCAGAGGATAAGGGAGAAGCAGGCTCTCTCCACTGAGTGGGGAGCCCGACTCAGGGCTTGATCCCAGCACCCTAATATCATGACCTGAGCTGAAGGCAGATGCCTAACTGCCTGAGCCACCCAGGCACCCCTGCAACTCCCTTCTTTATCACCTTTTCAAGAGCTCCTTCTTTCTTTAGCCCTCCCTCATTTCTTCATTCTCTCTCTCTTTCTCTTTTAGAGCAAAACTGGGCAAGCTTGTCCCGGAAAGGCCAGGTAGTAAACATCTTCAGCACCATGGGCTAGATGGTCTCTGTCGCGACTCCTTGGCTGCTCCTGGAGCTGAGTGCAGTCACAGACCACACAGAAGCAAATGGGCCGGGCTGCCCTTCATCCGAGTTCACTGACCTCGCTTTACAGAACACTGCCTCCGGTCCCCCTCGCTCGCTCGCAGCCATCAGCAGGAAGCAGCCACAGCTGTTCCTGTTCCTTGCATTCTGCAGGCTTCGTTCGGGCTGGGATCTCCAGAACCCGAGCAGAGGGCCCCAGGGGACACAAACCTCCCTGGGAGTATGGCAAAGGGAGTTTCTGGAGGAACCAGGCTGTGTCTGCTGCCTCAGAACTCTGCGAACCCCTCCCTGACCCAGTGATTCCTCCGATGCCCCTAGGGAACACCATCCTTGCCCAAGGCAGGTCCACGTTGTTCCTAAATCGTGTAGGCATTTATCCAGCTCATCTGACGAGTCATCTCAGCAGCATTTCAGACAAACAATCACTTTGTTCTTGAAACCCCTCCTTGGACCAGGCACTGAGTCCTCCCAGTTCCTCACCTGTCACTCCTCCCACGTCGGCTGGTTCCTCCCTGTCTCCCAGGGAGGAGACACTGCCAGGCCTCCAGACTCAGGCCTCAGGTCTCTTCCTTCTCTCCGAGGCTCTTCCCTGTGAGCTCACCCAGCCTCAGGCCAGTCCATATTCCTGTATTTAACGTGACCACGTCACAAATTTTCATCCCAGTCTGGATCTCGCCTCTGAACTCCAGGTGTGTATTTCCAGCTACTTAGTTGACACCTGCACTTGGACGTGAGCTCAGCATCTCAAATATGCCCAAGGCGCAGCCCCAGCCCGCTTCTCTGCTGTGCGCTGCCTCTGCGGCCCACGGCCCTGCCCGTGCAGGCGCTCAGGCCACAGACTCGGGCCGCCATCCCCGCCCTGGCCCTCGGCCTCGCACAGCGCACACCCCCTTCAGCGCCAAGTGCTCTAGGCTCTGTCCTCAAACTATGTCCTGGTTAGGATCCCTCTGCCCAGCTCCCCTGCCCCCCCTCCCCCCTTCCTCACTACACGTGCCCCAGCTTCCCCTCATGGCCCTAGCAGCCCGCTAGGTACCAGCCACAAGAGCCATCCTTCTCAGATGAAGATGAGGGCTCCCAGACTCGGGGCAAATGCCAGAGGTTTCCGGTGGCCTCTCTAAAGCCAGCTCCACAGACTCTCTGCTTTTATCGTCCTTGTCCTCACACCCTCAGCTCCAGGCACACGGGCTTCCTTGCTCCTGCTGGACCATGCCTGGCACACCCTCATCTCTGGGCTTTGTACCTGCTGCCACTCTGCCTGGAAGGTTCCTCCCCCACGTAGCCAACTGGGCTCAAACATAACTTGGCAGTGTTACCTTCATGGCAACCCCCTCCTCACTTCTCCCTGCCCTCCTTCACCTTTTTATTCTTCCACAATAGCACTTCTGGCCTCTAAACTACATAATACCAGTAGGTTTCACTTAATTAAAACAAACACACAAACAAACCGCTTCTCCTCTAATAAATAGAAAGCTTTTGTGAGAGTAGAGGTGATGTTTGTTTTGTTTTGCTTTATTTTTAAGATTTTAGGGGTGCCTGGGTGGCTCAGTCGGGTAAGCGTCTGCCTTTGACTCAGCTCATGATCCTGGGGTCCTGGGATGGAGCCCCACATTGGAGGCTCCCTGCTCTGTGGGGAGTCTGCTTCTCCCTCTCTCTCTCCTTCTGCCTGCCATTCCCCCTGCTTGCACTCTCTCTTTATTAGTCAAATAAATAAATAAAATCTGTTTTTAAAAAGTTATTTATTTGAAATAGAGCAAAAGAGAGCAAGCACGAGCTGGGGGAGTGGGCAGAGGGGGAGGGAGAAGCAGACTCCCTGCTGAGCGGAGAGCCTGATGCCAGGCTTGGGCTTGATCCCAGGACCCAGGGATCATGACTTGAGCCAAAGGCAGACGCTTAACCAACCGAGCCATCCAGGCACTCCATAGAGGTTATTTTAAATCTGTTTTATTCTTACTATATCCCCAACATCTAAAAAAGTGCTCAACTCAAAGTAGAAGCTCAGTAATATTTGCTGAATGAATGAGGGAATCAATTAATGAATAAATATTTTTACCACAAACATAATGACTTTAAACAACACAAATTTATTAGCCTCCAGTTCTCCAGGACAGAAGTCTGACATGGGTCTCACTGGCCTGAAAACAAGCTGTGGGTCGGGCTGCATTCCCATCTGGAGGGGAGAATCCATTTCCTTGCCTTTTCCAGCTTTGGAGGTCATGCACATTCCTTAACTGTGAGCCGTTCTTCCACCTTCAAACTAGCAATGGTCAGTTGAGCCTTACATCATTCCTACCTGGTACTGTCTTCCCATCTCCTTCCAATTCTCTATCTCCCTCTTTTGCCTTCATTTTTTTCTTTGAAGGATCCTGTGATGTCATTGGGGTCATCCAGATAATTCAGGATAATCTCCCTATCATCAAGGTAGCTAATTAGCTACCTTAATTCCTCTGCTACCTTAATTCCCCTTGGCCATGTAATGTGATATATTAACAGGTCCAGGGATTAGGACATGGGTATGGACATCATCCTGCCTCCCACTCCCACCCAGGCAGGAATCTATGAGAATTCCTCAGGAGTCACAGCTCATTCCAAATCAACCCAGAGCCCTGTGGATCAGTGCCACTAAGAGGTAGTAGCTCTGGATCTCTTCTACTGCTTTCTCTGGGCAGACGATGGTTCCTCTCAATGATTGCTCAATGAAAACTGCCTCTCAGCAAGCCAGTCATCAATGCCGATAAATGACAAGGTATGCATGAAAGGTTTCCTCTCCTTGGGCATCTGCATTCTTTAAGAGGGTTTTTCCACCTGTAAGTTATAGGAAACACATGTGATTTATAGAATTAAGTGCTTGTCTTTCTTACAAGCAAGGCCTCTGGAAGTAGCAGTCACTGACCGGACACGGAGGACTTAATGTCACCGGCATCAGTGTCTCTACAGTTGTCTTTGCTTGCCCTTCTCATCAGGATGGTGCTGCTGCTGCTGCCAAGCATCAGATCCATGTTCTGAGCAGAAGGGAAGGACAGAACAAAGATGGCACCACTAGTCATGTCTCCTACCAGAAAAAAAAAATTTATTTAAATTGCACCCCACACCTACTCAGACTTTCCTTAATGTCTTGGAGGCCAGAACTGATCACATAGACACTCCCAGCTGCAAGAGGCCTGGGAAAGTGAGGGACTGTATAATCCCGATTGATTTAGACCATTCATGATCTAATGTCTGCAGATGTTCATATTGCTGCCGCAGACAGAATTTCCATTTGGTCAGCATGGGGCTGCCAGGCTTAGTAAATAAATACCGGAGATGCCTAATTAAATTTGATTTTCTCACAATGAACACTTTGTTTTTTAGTAGAAGTATGTAATATGTGGGACATAGTTATAATAAAAATATTTGCTATTTATTTGAAATTCAAATTTAACTGGGCCTTCTGTGCTTTATCCGACAACCTAAGGCTAGCAAGAAGAAGGAAGAGTGGATGGTGAATGGGGAACTCACAAGATCTGCCACGAGGGCGATGGCATTTTATCCTGAAAGTTGAATTGCTGGTGGAAGAATTTCAGGACTCGGGCATCCCTGGGTAGTTCAACAGTTTAGCGCCTGCCTTCAGCCCAGGGCATGATCCTGGAGTCCCCGGATCGAGTCCCACATCGGGCTCCCTGCAGAGAGCCTGCTTCTTGCTCTGCCTAGGTCTTTGCCTCTCTCTCTGTGTGTGTGTCTCTCATGAATAAATAAATAAAATCAAAAAAAAAAAAAAAGAATTTCAGGATTCAATTGCAAGTTGGTGGGGGAACTCTTCCGTAACAAAGCCTAGGGGCTTCCATTTTGACCTTCCATTCATATAGGATATCCTCTGCAATGTCCAGATAAAACTGGTCTTCAGTGGGGTTGACAGGTTTCACTCAAATCGAATGGCTTTCTCCTCTCCAGCAAGTGTCTTCCATCCTGTCTATAGCAGTGCAGAAATGGTTTGCCTATGGAAAGCAAAAGAGGAAAGTAACAGAAACAACCAAAATATAGGTCTGCTCAAATTAATCTATGGTCCTGTTTTCACTGGTCCAACTATGGTAATGATGAGGCTAGTAATTTACAAATTTAGTACCCGATCAGAAAAAAAAGGTTAACTAAATATGAAATTGGGATGCCTGGGTGGCTCCATAATTGGAGCATGTGATTCTTGATCTCAGGGTTGTGAGTTTGAGCCCGAGGTTGAATGCAGAGATTACCTAAAAATAAAACCTTTAGGGCAGCCCCGGTGGCTCAGTGGTTTAGTGCCTGCCTTCAGCCCAGGGCGTGATCCTGGAGACCCAGGATCGAGTCCCACATCGGGCTCCCTGCATGGAGCCTGCTTCTGCCTCTGCCTGTGTCTCGGCTTCTCTCTCTCTCTGTGTCGCTTATGAATAAATAAAATTAAAAAAAATAAAAATAAAACCTTAAAGAAATGTATGAAATTAGATTTGAAACATTAATTTTTAGAATAAAAACTCTGTCCCTATCAACTCATTTCCTCTCACATCATCCCCACCAGAATTTAAATATTCTATAACCACCAAGAAATAGGTTCTGTGGCTCAACAGTGACTTTGGTCTGAATTTTATGACATTTATTTGAAGCCAGAGCTGGTAAACAGAAGTCTCTCTGGAATCACATTGCTATAGAATAAGGTTAAACTATTTTGATATCGATTCTGACCATATGTAAACATTTTGCCTAGCTCTTTGTCAGATTTTACTAATGAAACCAAAACCATATCATCAATTAAAAAAAAAACATACGATTACTTTATCTCCCCATGCTTTACATTTCTCGGGTATAAGACCTTAATTCAGAAATTAACACATGATGATTCCATTCAAATTGCCTGCATTGCCATTAAAATTCTACAAAATCTTTTGGTCCCAGGAAATGTCAAAGAATAATAACAGCATTTACCACATCTTATGCCTTACTGGGAACAGTGACTGGTAGAAGGCCACACCTTCTATACCCCTTTCAACAGTTCACCTGCAGCCTTCCTTATATGAGTCATATGTTTTGCATGTGTCTCAAATTTCCCATCTGTGAAACAGAGCGTGAGGCAGATAGAACTCTCAGTTATTTGAAGTACTCTGAACAAAATAGTTATGTTTTAGGGTAGGGTGTGATTTTGTTAGTGTTTGTCCAGGGATTCCCAAACTTGCTGTACAATGCAATTCCTTAGAGAGGTAAAAAAAATTCAGGGGCCCAGAGTCTGTACCAAGGATTCTGATTTAAGTGTGGCCTGAGTATTACCATTTTTAAAAGCGTCCCAGATGGTTCTAGTGTGCAACCAAGTCTGCCCATACAGGTAGGCCACACCTCTGGCCTTTATTCTCCCTGCATCTAATAACCAGCAGGAGGGCAGCTGAACAGCAAAGCCTAGGACCTGAACTACACTAAGAGGGGGCACAGTCAAGGGCGATCACCAAAGGGACCCTGGTGGGACGCCTGGGTGGCTCAGTGGTTGAGCATCTGCCTTTGGCTCAGGGTGGGATCCCGGGTCCTGGGATGGAGTCCCATATCCGGCTCCCCGCAGGGAGCCTGCTTCTCCCTCTGCCTATGTCTCTGCCTCTCTCTGTGTCTCCAGTGAATAAATAAATTTAAAAAAATTTAAAAATAAAAAATAAAAGGGACCGTGGAATCTGACTCACATTGGAAACACTATACCATTGTAATTCAGATTTCCTCCTCACCAAGGCAGGGGAAATGTAAAAACTGATATTACCCTCACGCAGCACAGCTTTGGTAAAGCCCAGGAACTGGAGAAGCTGTTGTTCACAAGGCAAACAATGTCTTCAGCTTCAATACAATTCTTTCAATTTCCTTGAAGTAGGTATTAACTTGTAGATGCCATAAATACTTTAAAAACTTTTGTGGGGATTTACCGAACTACTCTTGGAAGCCAAGGTCAGAGAGAAGATGTGGAATCAGGAGCAGGAAGAGAAAGGCCATTAAAGAGTTGCACACCCATAAGAGAAATTTGGGAGAAGAGACACTTTGGGGTGAGGGTGGGAGGATTTACTACACTAAAAACAAACTCTGGGGGCACCTGGGTGGCTGTTGGTTAAGCGTCTGACTCTTGATTTCAGCTCAGGCCATGATCTCAGGGTCATGGGATCAAGACCGGTTGGGTGTGGAGATTACTTAAAAATAAAATCTTAAAAAAAAAAAAACACACACACAAAGAAAGTAAAAATAATCCATAATTCCACTCCCCAAATTGAGCTATTCCAATATATATTCCTCCAGTCTTTTTTCTGTGTGTATGTATGTTATTTTAAAACATGAGTGCTATCAGCAGTGGAGACCTCTTTAAGGCAAGATGGAGCCAAAAGGGACACTCGGGTATATTCCACCTGCAGAAAGGGATGGCTTCTCCTATCCTCAGTCCCTTGACAGATGCCATGCTGCACCCCTCCCCCAGATCCTTGGTTATCTGAGAAGCCTTTTGGAATTAGCTGAGTTTACAGCAATGGCAGTTGGAAGACTACACAGATGGCACGAACCATCATATGTAACGGAGCTTAGTGGAATAACCACTTAAAACTAAGACATTCCTATTAAAAGATGGGATCTAAGAAATGATACACTTGGCCGAACTTCAGGTGATCATCTTGGCACTGGATGCCATGGCAAACGAATGATCCCGTCTTCACATTTATTATAAACTATTGAACTATTTCCTAAAAATATTCCCCTTCAAGGTAAAAAAAGAAAGAAAGAAAGAAAGAAAGAAAGAAAGAAAGAAAGAAAGAAAGAAAGAAAGAAAGAAAGAAAACCTCTGGAAATCTCTTGCCTCAGAAATACCCATGATATAAATCAGAAGTACATATCTCTACATATACTGAGGCTGAAATATAAGGTTTTGTCAGAATACTCCTTACTTCCTTCAGAGTTAAGATATTTCTAATTGTAACCAAGAAACGTGCTTCACTACTTGGCATATACAATGTGGAGTTCATGGAAAAGGAATGTAACAAAACTAATATATTTTTTTAAATTTTTATTTATTTATGATAGTCACACAGAGAGAGAGAGAGAGAGGCAGAGACACAGGCAGAGGGAGAAGCAGGCTCCATGCACCAGGAGCCCGACGTGGGACTCGATCCCGGGTCTCCAGGATCACGCCCTGGGCCAAAGGCAGGCGCCAAACCGCTGCGCCACCCAGGGATCCCCAAAACTAATATTTTTAATGTCTCTTATAGGTCCCAAGTAGCTGGTTTAACTGAGAGACATAACGGTGTCCTCAAACAACTCCTTTTCAAATTCCAGTGTAGCAAATAAGCCTCCCCAGGTCTCTATTTGTCACCAAGCCTTAGCCTACCTTGATAGATTTTTTTTATCTTGCTCCCATCCCACAAAGGCTGGGGGCTGGATCAAGGTTCAGACTCTCCTGGGACCCCTTAACCATAGACTATTCTACAGGCGAGGAAACTGCTCCCCTGATATGGGACCTACTTGAGTCAAGACTTCCACAAACCCAAAGACCTGTCAAGTGCAGCTGCACACCATTCTGGTGACTGTTGCTAATATTACTATAGATTGTCCCCAACTTACAATGCTTGATGTGATTTTTCAACTTTACAGTGGTGCATTCAGTAGAAACTGTACTTTGAATTTTGAATCTTTTTTAGGTTTTATTTATTCATTTGAGAGAGAGAGAGAGAGAGAGAGCACTAGTGGGGGGAGAGGCAGAGGGAGAAGCAAACTCTTGGCTGAGCAGGGAGGCAGACTCGGGGTTCAGTCCCAGGACCCTGGGATCATGACCTGAGCTGAAGGCAGATGCTTAACCAACTGAGCTACCCAGATGAGCCTTGAATTTCAAATTTGGTATTTTCCCAGGCTAGTGATATGTAGTACAACGCTCTCCCATGATGCTGGGCAGTGGCAGTGACCTATAGCTTGCAATCAGCCACACAATCATGAGGGCAAACCACTAATACACTTACCACCTTTCTTTTTTTCACATTTAGTACAGTATTCAATAAATTACACAACATATCCCAAATTTTTTTTGTGAAACAAGCTTTGTGTTAAGTGATTTTACCCAACTATAGGCTAATGTAAGTGCTTGAAGCATATTAAAGTTAGGCCAGGCTAGGTTATGTTAGGTGTATTAAATGCATTTTTAACCTACAGTATTTTCAATTTGCAATGGGTTTATCAGGTTATAACTCCATCACAAATTGAGGAAGATCTATATTGTTCTGGTTGCTTTCATTGGTTTATAATCCAGAGGCCCAAACCCTGCAAGGAAGTCATTGCTTCAATCAAGCATGGCAAATGGTGAGGCCTGCATCAACTCAAGTGGGTTTTCAAAAGGAAAGGACACCTGAGTCCCATGTTACAGAGGACCTCACTCTAGCCCAGAAGCTCACTAGAGATGATATCACCCTAGCCTAAGACATCATCATTGAAGATGACTTTGCTCCCTATTCCAAAGACAGTTTCACCCTGGACACCAAGATGTTCACCCAAACAATGCCTCCCATAAGGCACAATTAAATACAGGGCATTTTTTACTTTTCTTCTTTTGATATTAAGGATTCTATTACATTTCTGAGCTCACTGTCTACTTAGCCCATGACTCTGATACATTCCTTGCTCCCTGCTAAAATGTATAGTCCTACACGGGTGCCTGGGTGGCTCAGTCGGTTAAGGGACCAACTCTTGATTTCAGCTCAGGTCATGATCTCAGAGGCATGAAATCGAGCCCCACATTGGGTTACATGCTCAGTGTGGAGTTGGCTTGAGATTCTCTCCCTCTGTCCCTCATTCTGCTCATGTGTACGCGCACAGACACACACACTCTAAATAAATAAATAAATAAACAAACAAACAAATAAATAAATAAATAAAATCTCTTAAAAATAAATAAATAAAATATATACCCCTATACTCCTATGCCTAAAGGGAAATCTGGTAAAGGTTACTACCATGTGTGCCATTCTAAAAA